ACTTCAAAAATCTGCAAGGTGAACACATATTGCATGTACCACATAGTAGGAAAAAAATAGAGTTGGGCCAGTGAGATGACTCATTGTGTAGAAGAGCTTGCTGTCCAAGCCCGATGACCTGAGTTCTATTCCTGTAGGCCACAGTACACGGGAGGGGGGGGGGACGGGACACAACACGGGACACTGACATACGACGGGACACGACGGACACGGGACACTGATTCCAGAAAGCTGCTCTCTGATTTCCACATACTGCTCTTGCAGGGATCCAAGTCCAGTTCCATGTCCACATGGTGGCTCATAACTGCCTATAACTCCAGTTCCAGGGATCCAACACTCTCTTCTGGCCTCTGCAGAGGCCTGTACACACAGGTCACATATGTGCACACAGGCAGAGTCCTGGAGACCCCAAAGCAGATCTCAGGCAGAGCTGGGGGATGGGGACAGAGCCCTCAGTCTACAGAGGCCTGGGTGACAGTGATGCTGGGACACCCAGTTCTACACACAGGAAAACATGAACTAGAATGGTTTCCTCACATCCCACACACAAACATCATCCAGATGGATGGAAGGCTCACTATCAGCCAAGCGCAGCTCTTTAGGGAATATCCCATGAGCTCACTGTAACTCACTCAGACATGAGTCCAGCTGAGTGAGCCTGGAACAGAGTGTGGGCCCCTTGGGAGCTTCACACAGAGCCTGCAAGTCAGGAAGGCCAGGATGAACCATCCCTAAAAAGAAGATGGGAGACTGCAGTAGGTGCTTCATGAAAGGGAGGATAGAGTGTGTTCTCTCTTCAGAAAAAGCCTCAGTGGCTCTCTAAAATACAGTAACTGAGTCGGGCAATGGTGGCGCTCTCAAGATAATGTCCGGACAACAACTCCGAGTCCGTGTCCATTTGAATAGTCATACATCAGAAAGGACCAACACTGAGAACTCATGAACGACACCTTCAGTGTCAACAGGGCTTTACTTTCAAAAGCACAGTGTGAGGGAAAGAAGCACTCTTCAGAACAATGCTGTGCTGGCCAGTTTTATGTCAACTTAACACAAGCTAGAGCCATCTGAGAGGAGGGAACCCTGCTGAAAAAAAGCCTCCATGAGATTAGCTGGAGGCAGACAAGCCTGCAGGGTACTTTCTTAATTACTAACTGATGGAGGGAGGGTCCATCCCACTGTGGTTGGGGATATCTGCCCCTCAGGCTGGTAGTCCTGGGTTCTCTGGGAATACAGGCTGAGCAAGCCATAAAGAACAAGCCAGTAAGCAGCACCCCTCCACGGCCTCTGCATCAGCTCCTGCCTCCAGGTTCCTGTCCCGTTTGGGTTCCTGTCCTGTTTTAGTTCCTGTCCTGACTTCCTTCAATGATGTACTCCAATGTGGAAGGGTAAGCCAAAAAAACTTTTTTCTCCCTAACTTGTGTTTGGTCATGGTGTTTCATTTCAGCCTTAGAGACAAATGTCAATATAAAATTGAAAACCAGGGGCTGGGAGATGGCTCAGCAGCTAAAAGCATGGACTGCCCTTGCAGAAGACCTGAATGCAACTCAGAGCCATGTCAGACAGCTCACGACTACCTGTGTGTGACTCCAGCTCCTGGGGGAGCCAATGCTTCTGGCTTCCAAGGACATCTCCACTCACATGCAATACATGTACTTAAAAAACGATAAAGTGACTCTTTCAAATTGAAAACCAGGAAGCCAATACATTATTTAGAGATGCGTAGGTCAAAAAGAAAAGTCGGGGGCAGGTCTCTGAGTCAAGAGTGTGTTCTTGTCGCAGGGAAAGGTTACTCTGCACAGAGTCATGGGGTGGAGGTGTCTAATATGTGAGTGCTTCCACACAAATTCCCACCTTTGTTATTCTTATCAGCTGACCCTGGGCCCCACCTACCCAGTTACAAACCGGCCACATTTCACAAGGCAGCCTTTCTCCCCTTCCCTCCCAGCTTTTGTGAAGCCTACTCTCTTCAGAATAGGTGGAGATATCTCTCTCTCTCTCTCTCTCTCTCTCACATACACACACACACATACACACACACATATACACACATCCTGAAGTTCAAGCATGCTTGGCTCACTGTGTATGCCTAAACCTATCTTTGCCTTGCACTTGGACCCAGTAAGTATTTGTTGAATGACTGAATAGATTCATAAAGAAAAGAAGTCCTTGGGCTGGGGAGGGAGCTCAGTCTGTGCAGTGCTTACCAGAAGGATGAGGGCCTGTGTTTGAGCTCCAGCATCTATAAAACAAAACAAAAACAACAGCAAAGCTGGCAATGGTGGCCTGTGCTTAAATTCCCAGCACTGAGGAGATACCAGGTAGCTCTGCCTGGGGCGAGTTGGCCAAGCAGCCTAGACTAATCAGTGCGCACACATAAATATACACCTCACTCATACATACATGTCCACACCAAAAAAAATTTTTAATGGGGAAGTGGGTACTGGAAGATGGCTCCATGGTTAAGAGCAATTGCAGAGGATCCAGGTTCACTTCCTGGTACCCAAACAGCAGCTCACAAGGTTCTCCAGCTCCAGTTCTAGATCTTTGTGCCCATACATATATCCATATATCTAACACTCACAGACATAAAATAGAAAATAGTTATTTTTAAAACTGGTTTATTTTAGGGGGCTGGAGAGATGGCTCAGTGGTTAAGGGCCCCGATTGCTCTCCCAGAGGACCCAGATTTCATTCCCAACACCCACACAGCAGCTGACAACTGTTATAACTCCAGTACTAGGGGACTTGATGCTCACTTCTGACCTTCATGGGCATCAGGCATGCACATGGTGCACAGACATACGTGCAGGTAAAATACCTATGCACATACAATAATAAAATCAAATAAAGACAGTAGGAGAGTCTTTTTTCTTTTCTTTCTCCTCCTCCTCCTCCTTCTTCTTCTCTCCTCCTCCTTCTTATTCTTTTTTTTTCTTGAAACAGGGTTTCTTTCTCTGCATAGCCCTGGCTGTCCTTGAACTTGCTTTGTAAACCAGGCTGGCCTCAAACTCAAAGATTCACCTATCTCTGCCTCCTGAATTCTGGGATTAAAGATGTGCACCATCACCACCTGGCAGTAGGGGAAATTCTTATTTTATTTATTTATTTTTTGTTTTTAATTGCGGCACGTGAATGTGTGTAGGTGTGTGGGTGTATTTGCACAAGCATGCAGGTGCCCAAGGCCAAGACATCAGGTCCCTGAACTGGAATTCCAGGAGGTTGTGAGCCACCTAACATGGGTGCTGGGAACTGAACTCAGATCCTCTGCAAAAGCAGTGTGTGACATTAACCCTGATCCATACCTCTGGCTCTCTAAAAGTAAATTTTTTAAAAGAAGGAGGATCAGGAGGAAGAGAAGGAAGGAAGGGAGGGAGGAAGGAAGGAAGGAAGGAAGGAAGGAAGGAAGGAAGGAAGGAAGGAAGGAAGGAAGCGAGCCTTGCTGAGGATGTTTTTCTACTGAAGGTATTTCAGCTTTGGAAGAGGCAGGGGCAGCCAAGGTCTCATCAGGTCCAGCGGGAAGCCCCAAGCAGAGGTCCGGGAGGGAGGGAGGGAGGGAGGCTCCAGTTCTAAGCCTCCACATTCCTCCACTTGAGCCTGCGCCAAGCCACACACAGCACATCTGGGGCCTACCCCGCCCAAGGCATGCAGCCATTGCCCCTTCTTCAGCTCCGGCCCGTTTCAGCCTTTGTCCTGACTGTTTCCAACCCCGGGCCTCCCATCCTTCTTGGCTAATCTGGGTACTCGGCCAAGAGTGTCTCCCCAAAGCAGCCCCAGAGGCTTTGCCTCATCTCTGTCTCATCTTTTCAGGTCCTCACTTGCCCATCGGGGTGCCCTGTTTGGCTTGGAAGAGGGGGTGCTGGCAGGCGGGCAGCTCCCCATAACCATAGCCTTTCATGCGCTGTGCCCTCCTTTCCTGGCCTCGGGTGCCTCTGTCTCTGGTCTTTCAGGGGTGGAAAAAAGAACTTGGGGGGAACATGGGATGAGGAGAGCTAGCAGAAAACTGGAGCCTGGTGCCCTTTGCTGACCACACCCAGAGATTCCTTTCTGGAGCCCCACAAGCTGGACTTGGAAGAGATTGAGCCACCTCCCGGGTTCCTCCCCTCTGGGGTCCTGAGCTGGAAGAAAGGCGCCTTTGCTGGGCCTGAAACACCAGACCCTCAGCCAGGGCAGCGATCCCAGCCCTATTGTCTACGCCGGTTCAGCAGCCAAGGCATCGCCCAGATGCCTGCAGCAAAGGCCACTCTTGAGCTCCAGCAGCCCGGCTTCCTGGTGGTCTCACCACATGGCTCCCTGCTGCCCCATGGATGGGATTCTTTGTGTTGCTGGAATTCCCATCTTGTAAGGGCATGAAGTGGCATGGCCTCTGGCCAGGAAGCCCTGAGTACTGGGTCAATGGGAGGGATAGGGTTAGGTCAGAGTCAGCAGAGAGCCTTCCCAGCCCCCAGCCAGTGTCCAGGAACTTCTTGCTGCCCGGCACCAGCACCCAAGCTTGCTTTGGGACACTCTTTTCCTGTAGGACGTCACCTGTGTGCACTGTAGCCTCCTCAGTTTAGGCTTCTGTGCCTCTCTCCCGGGCAAAGAGGGATGGCCAGGGCCCCGAGATAAAACTCAGAAACAGGCTCCCTCTGCCCTCAGTTCCCCTTCTGGGCTTGTGTGATGGCAGGTCATGCCTGCCCTTTTCAGGTCAGAGCCACTTGGTGCTCATTAGCCCCGGGAGTCGTCCCTGCCCCTCGTGCCTGCTCCACAAGCAGATGCTGAGCCCCTAGGACCTTCTGAGCCTCCAGCCAAGACCCAGTAGTTGAAACTTAGTTCTCTCGGCTTGCTTTTCCCAGGCCAGGGACAAATTTGGCTCCGAGGGCGCAGCACTCTCCAAGCGAGGCTGCCTAGCAACCAGTCCAGCCAATCCCCAACACCAGGTATCCTTCTCTCACGACTCCCCAGGACCCCCCAGGACCGAGCTGGCCACACTCTTTGCCCGGGAAGGAGGACCGTGGCTGAGAGCTGTGGGGAGATTCAGCCAAGAGCCTGAGAGAGAAGGGGTGGTGCGGCTGAGTCACCCGCACCTCTTCAGTCACCTGCGCGCCTTCGGAAGGGGCAGGGCCGACTTTGGGCTGGTCCCGCGGTGGGTGGGCCTTCATGTGGGCGGGCCTCCTGCAGCCCCGCCCCGGCACCTAACCCTGGGCCCCGGGCCACCCAGGCCTCCCCGCTGCTCGCTGTCCCGGGTCCCTGCCGTGTTCTCCGGCGCGCTCCCATGGCCGGAAAGTTGCTGTCTCTGCTGCCACCCCTGCTGCTGGCTGCGGTGGGTCTCGCCGGCCTCCTGCTGCTGTGCGTTCCTACCCAAGACGTCCGGGAGCCGCCCGCCCTCAAGGTGCACGCGCCCATCGCGGCGCTCGTCTGGGAAGCAGCTGGCTGGGGACTAGGGGGGCGGGGACGGGGGAGACGGGGACAGGGAGCTGTCGGGGAATCCAGGAGCGCGCCGGCGGAACGCCTAGGGCTCCCGCGTCAGCGCGGGACCAACCCGCGCTGTACCTCCAGCCGGGTCCTAGGTTCCGCGCTTGATTTTTACTGAGTCCGCGGGGTGACAGCGACGCTTCCGGAGCTCCACGGCACTGGAGGCCAAGTTCGTGGGAATTCCTCTGTTGCGGCTTCGCGATGAAGCTGCCAATTCCCCGGAGGAGCTGTCTTCCCGCTCCCTTCATGTGGTTCTCATCTCCCCTAGCTGTGGCAAGAACCCCCGCCCCTAGTCCAGCGCGATTTCCGGGCAACACCCAGAGCGCGCCGTTATAGAAGAGCATTGGTTCTAGATTCAGCTCCAGATAGGGGAGAGCACACACTAGGGGCCTCCAACCCCTCTCAGACCAAGGTCTGAACACTGACACTTGAAGGAAGCTCGCTGGTCTAAAGGGGTCTCCGTCACCAAGCCTCAGGCTAGAAGCTGGCAACTAACCTTTTGTTGATCTTGTGCTGAGTTTGTGTGGAGAGTGGACATCCCAGCCCCAGGGACCCAGGATGGAAGGGGAAGAGCTCTGTAGCTATGCGGGATGGGCTTTGGGGTGTGGGAGTTGGATCATTGTATCTGGCTGGCTCTGGAGGAGTTCCCTGGTGTGCGGGAGGACTGGAGCAGCCCTTTCCCAGGCTAGAACTGGCACTTGCCCCAGGCTGGTGTCCAGCCAGGCTCCCTCAGCTGGAGTCCGGCCCCCTGGAGCAGGCTACCCTGCAAAGAAAGCCCATCCAGCGCCCCGCTCAGCTCTGCAAAACCAGACTCTCCCTGGCGTTTAGGCTCAGGGAGGAGTGTGGATTGGAGACCTACACTCAGCTTCAGCCACATTCTTTCCCAGCAGCCCTTACTTCACATTCTCAGGTCAGGCTAAGGTCTCTGCAGATACAGGTAGAGCGGAGAAAGAAGGAAGAGTAGCTCTTGGGTGTGGCCCCCCTGAACTGAGGACCTTGTGTCCCCAAGGCAAAGTTCCCGATGTGCTCTTGGGACCCTCTGTCCCTGGCCCCTCGGTTGTCCTCGCGAGGAAGTCTACTTTCTGGTGCTCGGCAGTGCCATCCTCAGGCAGTTGGGGGGGGGGGTCACCCCAGGAACTCCTGGTCAGCCTCCTTCTGTTCAGGCTCTATCACTGTGGATGCCCTTGACTGTCTCTGGGCTTCAACGTGTACCTTGATCCACAACTGGTGGGAGTGAGAACTGGAATGCTAAAGGGAGTCCCTACGTCCGTCCCTCGGGCTGACTTAGCACTCCCACCTGCAGTATGGCATCGTTCTGGATGCTGGCTCTTCGCACACATCCATGTTTGTCTACAAGTGGCCGGCGGACAAAGAGAACGACACAGGCATTGTGGGTCAGCACAGCTCTTGTGATGTTCACGGTGAGCACGGTCTTGGGTTATTGTTCAGTCTTAGCTTCACAGGCCCAAACAGTCATTCTCTTCTGCTTGCTGCTAGGTGGGGCTTACTCAATGCAGGAGTTCAAAGAGAGGCTGGGTTCTCTGGACCTGGGAGGGGCTGTGGGTGCCTTATGTTCTGGAATAGAAGTCCTGGGGAGCAGGTGGAATCATTGGGGTTTAATGGCCCAAGACAGGTCTCTACACTATAGACAGGCAGGTGGGGCTCCGAGGATCTAAGCGTGTATCCAGGCAGGTTCTTTGGAGGCTAGGCTAGGCTGACAATGCCTGAGTCTTTCTCCTGGCACCTGTGCCCACACCCACCAGGCAGACGGCAGCTTCAGAGACTCTGGGTGGCACCTGGACCCTTTGTCTCTGAATTGGCTATCTCTGGGATTAAGCTGGGAGGGTATGTCTAAGCAGCCTCATCAGCCTATGTCCCACCTGGAAACCATCTACCAAGCCTGGGTCCAACTCCTTGCTCTCTCTAGGTGGGGGCATCTCCAGCTACGCAAAGGACCCTTCTAGGGCGGGCCAGAGTCTGGTCGAGTGTCTTGAACAGGCACTTCGGGATGTGCCCAAAGACAGACATGCCAGCACACCGCTCTACCTGGGAGCCACAGCAGGCATGCGCCTACTCAAGTGAGTACCTATACCCTGACTTGGCCCAGCGGCCTTCACAGCCCTTCACACCCCCTCCGTGGGCAAGCTCTCAGGAATGCCTGGCAGAGGGCATCTGGGGATGAGTTCCATCAGAGTCCTCCCCATTCCACAGCCTGACCAGCCCAGAGGCCACAGCCAGGGTGCTTGAGGCCGTGACAGAGACGCTCACACAGTACCCCTTTGACTTCCGTGGTGCTCGAATCCTCTCGGGACAGGATGAAGGGGTGTTTGGCTGGGTGACTGCCAATTACCTGCTGGAGAACTTCATCAAGGTGGGCCCTGCAGCTGGCCCAAAGAGCCCGGGGTCCTGCGGGCCTTGCCTGCCCACTGCCTTAACCCAATTTCTGCTCTTCACAGTACGGCTGGGTGGGCCGGTGGGTCCGGCCGCGGAAGGGAACTCTGGGGGCCATGGACCTTGGGGGTGCCTCAACACAGATCACCTTTGAGACAACCAGCCCATCTGAAGATCCAGACAGTGAGGTCCATCTGCGGCTCTATGGCCAGCACTACCGTGTCTACACCCACAGCTTCCTCTGCTATGGCCGAGACCAGGTTCTTCAGAGGCTGCTGGCCAGTGCCCTCCAGGTGCCTCTCCAATCCCAACCACCACACCGCGCCGGTGCCTCCTTGAGGAAGGGAGGAAGAAGGGACCAAAGGCCACAGGGCAGAGCCGGGGAAGCACTAATACTGACCTCAGGGACCGTAAGAGAGGCCTCCTTTCACGTGGATGCACACATGGCTGTGAGGCCCACAGTGGGTCAGACCTCCATGGTGATGTCCCCGTTCAGCCTCAACCACCAGGTCCCCTGACCAGTGCTTCTCCAGCGGGGTGTGCCTCAGCTTGAAGACAGGTGGGGAGGAATTCAATGGGATAAAGGGTCAGGAATAGGGGTCTAGTGTAAGGAGAGCCAAAGGCCATCTCAGCAGGTCATGGTTAGCCATGATGGTTCAGGAACACAAAAGGGGCGTTTCCCCAGTTGGATCTGTGGACAGTTCATCATGCTGCTTCTCTGGGGCGGGGTGGAGGGCAGCGACTCCAGTAGAGAATTCTCTCCGTACTCTGGTTAACTCCCCAGACCCACCACTTCCACCCCTGCTGGCCAAGGGGCTACTCCACGCAAGTGCTGCTCCGGGAAGTCTACCAGTCACCATGCACTGTGGGCCAGCGTCCTCCGACCTTCAATGGCAGTACCCTTGTCAGAGTCGCGGGGACCAGCAGCCCTGCCCTCTGCCGTGACCTGGTCTCTGGGCTCTTCAACTTCTCCTCCTGCCCCTTTTCCCAGTGCTCCTTCAACGGGGTCTTCCAGCCCCCTGTGACTGGGAACTTCATAGTGAGTCTGGGTAGAGGGCTGGGGGGGGGGCGGCAAAGGCATTAAGCATCTGGCGTCTTGTCGGAGTATGACTGCACAATCCGTCTCCCACAGGCCTTTTCTGCTTTCTACTACACGGTGGACTTCCTGAGGACGGTGATGGAGCTGCCTGTGGGAACCCTGCAGCAGCTGGAGGCAGCCACGGAGATCGTCTGCAACCAGACCTGGGCTGAGGTGAGGCCTGTCCCCCATATTCTCCATGGCTGGGTGGGAGACTGGGCCATTCATTTATTTGCTCTACATATAGAGAGACCCAGTCATTTCAGACTGCTGGCTGTCATAGGTAGACTCAAGAAATGTCCAGAGGGGGATCTTGGGACTGGGTAAGGTAGAAATTCAGTGGTCTCCTTGGGGTCTGATCTTTTTTTTTAATTAATGAATTAGTTCATAATTTTTATATGCATTGGTGTTTGACCTGTATGACTTTGTGAGGGTGTCAGATCCACTGGTTCCAGACAGTTGTGAGCTGCCATGTGGGTGCTGGGAATTGAACCTGGGTCCTCTGGAAGAGCAGCCAGTGCTCTTAACCTCTGAGCCATCTCTCCCGCCCTGGGCTGGAGAGCAAGTGGGATTGCCAAGTCTCTGTGGCGACAGGGAGCTCAAAGCAGGCAGGGACGGAAAGGCAGGTGTCGAGGACAGAGTGTGCCAAAGGATGTCTCACCAGTGGGAAAAGACTACTCAGGAGAGACTCAGCAGGGCTTGGGCTTGAAGATGCCACCAGATTTCTGGTTCTGGCCGCGGGCTAAACACTAGTTCCAGGTAAGGAAGAATAGAGAGCTCTGGATAGCTGGAGTGTGAGGTGGCCACCAAATCTGGAGAAATGGGGCCTCCTAGTCTTAGGCACACTTCAAGGTCTCAGAAAAGTGGGGTCCGGTAGTCAGAGAGCAGCATTCGAGGCCGGCCCTCTGTTCCTTTGGTTATGAAGCAAGAGTGCCACTCTCCTGCTCCCAGTGGCTGCGTCCTCTCCATCTGGCTGTTGGAAGGAAGGACACAAGGCCTTCCAGCAGTCATGTGGTTTATCCCAGAGGAGTGTCTGCCTGGGAAGGGCGTCTTGGACTAGGTCTTTCTGTGTATTTCCGGCCTGAGCTGTAGGGAGGGCGCCTTACCCCGCGGGCCGTAGTTCCTCGTGGTTCTTCATCTAACGATGTCTTCCTTTCTTCTTAGCTCCAGGCTCGAGTGCCAGGGCAGCAGGCCCGCCTGGCTGACTACTGCGCCGGAGCCATGTTCATACAACAGCTGCTAAGCCGCGGCTACCGCTTTGATGAGCGCTCCTTCAGCGGAGTGGTCTTCCAAAAGAAGGTGGGTGATGGGTGGGGCCGGAGGATTCGGGGCGGGGCCTCTGGGAAGCTGACGCCACGCCCCCTCTCAGGCCGCAGACACGGCTGTCGGCTGGGCGCTGGGCTACATGCTGAATTTGACCAACCTGATTCCGGCTGACCTTCCGAGACTACGTAAGGGGACTCACTTCAGCTCCTGGGTCGCTCTCCTCCTGCTCTTCGCCGTCCTGCTCTTGGCGGCGCTGGTCCTGGTCCTGCGTCAGGTGCGCTCCGCCAAGTCCCCCGGCGCCCTCTAGGGGTGCACTGGGAGGTGCTCGCAACCCCCAGGACACCTCTGACAGAGTCAGCCTGGGGATCGACATCTACAGTCACCTTGGTAGGCCCCTGCAGGCCTCTCCAGATCTCAAGTATTTCTCCCCCCTCTCTCTCCCTGGGGTGTCAGGTCTCAGCCTGTGACTCAGGGTGAGGTCCGTGCAGAGAGGGACCTTTGTTCTGATCTTCAGGGCCCTGGAACTTCCTGGGCATAGCCTGGGCCTTTAGAAAGGCAGCCACCAGAGCCTACGGGCTAGGAGTCAGTTCAATGCCTACTTGTACAAATTTTGTAATAAAAGATTTTTCCTAAAGCAGTGAAGTGTTCGTAGGGTGGGGCACCCTTCTGATGCTGGTCCTCCTTCCAGCTGTGTTGGTCATTCAGAGCTAGCCTGGTTCCAAGATACTGACTTTTCCTGCTTCCTTCCTTCCTGGACCAGACCTGAGGCTACGAAGGCACACTTCTACACTGGTCTGGGCTGTCCTGAGTCTGAGTCCTCTTTGGCTGACAAAACCCTAACAAACCTCAGGTCCCCCTTGGTGACATAGGTAGGGGTTGAGGATGTACCCCGAGGTTGCTGACCCCCCCACCCCACCCACTGCAGAGGCTCCGGAAGTGTCAAGAGCCCTGCATTCCACACCTAAGTTTCTGTGTTCTCTAAGTAGAGAAGAATGGCCTGGGTATGCTACTTCTCCCTGCCTCCTTTAGGGAAATGAGTTCAGACACAAGTTCTGTTCCGTCAGGGTTTTGAGGGCTGGTTTGGGGGTGCACAGGCACACACAGCGTCATTCTTTGATACATTTTGTAAACCTACAACAGCAAGTCTCCGCTTTGACACTGTGAGCCCGAGGGACTGAGAGAAGTACAGGGCTGGCGAACTCAATCTTCTTGTCTTTCTGTTTTACGTTTTTGTTGTTTTGTTTTTTGAGACAGGATTTCTCTGTGCAGCTTTGGCTGTCCTGGAGCTTGATCTGTAGACCAGCCTGACCTCGAACTCACAGAGATCCGCCTGCCTCTGCCTTCTGAGTGCTGGGACTAAAGGCGTGCGCCACCACTGCCTGCCAAGATTTTTTTTTTCTGTTTTATATTTGGGGGGGGGCTTGAGACAAGGTTTCTCTGTGTAAAAGCTCTGACTATCCTGGAACTTGCTTTGTAGACCAGGCTGGCCTCGAACTCACAGAGATCTGCCTGCCTCTGCTTCCCAAGTGCTGGGATTAAAGGTGTGCGCCACCACCGCCCAGTATCTGTTTTACATTTTTAAGACAGGGTCTCACTGTGTATCCCTGGCTGTCCTGGAACTTGATATGTAGACCAAGCTGGTCTTGAACTCACAGATAACCTCCTACTTCTGCCTCTCGAGTGGTGGGATTAAAGGAGTCCACCACCACAGTTAGCTTCAACCTTGCTTTCTTGACTGAGTCAGTGGGAGGTCTCTGGATGGGATGGGGTGTGTTCTCAGGGGACTGGAAGTGAAAAATGAATACAAGGCACCGTGGATGCTCCATGTTGTGTGACTCAAGGGAACTGAAAACCATCACCTGGGACAGTGACCACCTTGGACAGCTCCCAGACGCCTGTCAGCAGCAACGTCAATTTACTTTTGCCCCCTTGTGGACTCACTCGGAAACTGGCGTCAGGAGAGATCTACTTGTGAGCCTGCTGTGTTTGCTTTATACTTCGCGGCTTAGAAAGCCCGGAGGCGTCTCTGAGTACACCTGTGCGTCTATGTGCACCTGTTTATCCTTTGATACGCTTTGCAAGCCTGCAACAGCTAGCCTGGTCTACATAACAAGTTCCAGGACAGCCAGTGTTTGCTCCTGGTGTTCGCCTAGTCTAAGGCCCTCCGCTCCAATAGGGTCTACGGTCTGGCAGTCGGACCACTAAGAGGAAGGCATGTATCTTGGGACGCCCACTCCTAGTCAATCCTAAACCAGATTTCTGGGTAACGAGAAGGTATCCTGCTGCAGAGGCTGGAGGGCCCGAGGTACTTAGTCGCCTGTAGAATGGGGACCCTCAACAGGTCGCAGAGGGAGGGGGCTCAGTCTGGAGATGTCCCGCCCCCGCAGGTGGAGCGCGCAGGCGCACTCCCTACACGCTCCTCTGGCCGCTGATCCTCCATCGCATCCCGGATCCTTTGCCGCAGCGTCAGCGCCGCCTCCTCCTCTTTTCCTCTTCCTCCTCCGCCCCCTCTCGCTTCCCGGCTTCTCCAGTCACGGTTCCCGGAGCCGGTACTGAGCCCGGGGGCGCGGGGTGCCATGCTGCCCGGGTGGCGGCGCTGAAGCATGGCGACGCCGATCCCTCCGCCTTCCTCGCGGCACCTGCGGCTGCTGCGGCTGCTGCTCTCCGGCCTCATCCTCGGAGCGGCCCTGAACAGTGCCACCGCCCGCCGCCCGGGTGAGCTATCGCTCTGGGCGCAGGCTGCGGGGCGCTCCGGGGCCGGGATCGCCGGGCGGGGAATCCTAACCCCCGGCGCCACCCTCGTCCTCCCTGCCACCGCCCTGGCCTCACCCGGGCCCGCAGGCCAGGCAGGTCCGGTCCGCTGGCCATGGATTGGGTAAACAGGTCAGGCCCGTTGAAGGCCAGGTTGGATGAGTCTTCTCTCAGGTTACTGGAGGCGAACGTAGATTTCATGAGCTTCTGGTCTTTGTTTCTGGGTCCCTGAGCCAATTCGGCGTGTGTCTCCGGATGTCTTTCTGGGCGTCTGCAGCCATCTGGTTCCCGGTGGCCCTCAGAGGGGATCCGGTGTCTTTGTTTCTGTGTCTCTGCCGTTTCCAGTCGGCAAGGTTGTTCCCGGTGACTGTGGGCCTTTGCTGCTGTCAGCCTTGTCTTGGGGTGGGTTCCCATGGCAGAGTCTAAGAGTTCCAGGCCCATTAGGGTCTTGTTCCAACTTAGTGGGGTCAGGCTGCCTCCATCCCCTGCCCTGGAGGGCACAGTGCCACCCAGTCTTCTGGACTGAGGTCTGTATGTTGACCCTTCAGAAGAGTGTGAGCCCAGCCTGGGAAAACATTCTTGCCAGATGGGTCCTGAAGCCACAGGATCCAAATCGTATCTCCCTGAAGGGAGTGAGGTGGGAGAGGGTGCCCGTATATATGCTCGCTGAGTTCTGGAGCTCTGAAGGGGAGGTGCTTTGAGCCCAGCTTACAGATGAGGAAACCGAGGCACTGAGAGGTGACTGGTTTGTGGCACAAATGGGACTCCAACGAGATTGTTCTGCGTGTGGGGCCTTAAGAGCTGGGCAGGCCTCCTCCCCGGCAAACAACCCTGAAGGTTGGCGTGACTGGAAGAGACTCTGGGGGAGGGTGGAGGGCCAGACCAGGCCTTGCCAGAGGTAGTACAGGCCACCTGCTGAAGAGCCTGCCTCCCGGGTGGAGCCCCCTCAGGAGTGGGACTACAGGGCCGGTGCTGGCCTCTGCACGTTGGCCACGGTAGCTGAATACAGAGACCTGGCTTGACCCGTCCGTCCCTAAGCATCTCCTTACCACACCTGGAGGGCCAGTAGCCCAGCATGGGTAGAATACCAGTTACTCTCCAGTTACCGTTGTTCCTGGGACCTCCTCGTCACACCCAGGCTGGAGAGGGTCTTTCTATCCAAGATTAAACAATAGGCCGGTGGGCTAGGGAGGTCCACACCAGCCTTGTGCCACACACCTCTAGTATAGATCTGACTAGGTTATCAGCACCAGGGGCAGGGACTAACTGGCTCCCTGGAGCCTAGCTGGTGGGTGGAGTCCATGTAAGCCTTCTGGCACAGGTTTAATGTTTAACTATTCCAAGCCCCAAGCCCAGATCGCTGTCACTGGAGTCTGGTGATCCAGCCTATGCAGGATAGAAGGGCCTGGCCTGGCCTTCAGTGTCCCACCTGCCCTCGGGGCTGCTGGAACTTCTTTCCAGTAGATGTAGAGTGTCAGATTACAAAAGGAAACTAAGTCAAAGGCTGCAGAATGTCCTCCACATCCCAGGGGGCCCGACTGGCATTGCCTGCCGTGTGCCGTGTGCCGTGTGCCGTGGTGGTGGGGCTGAGGGGAGGAAGGACCCAATTGGCCAGAGACACTCACCAGGCAAGGTTGATGTCCTGCTGGGTAGTCCCTTGGCTCTGCTGGCTTCCTGGGCCAGGGACCAGGGTCCCAGGTTGGAAATATTCCTTAGCTTTGAAGCAACTGAACTTATACACCCCACAGGAGAAACTGAGGCATGAGGGTCACTGTTCTGTCTACCTCCATCAGCATGGTACTAATTGGCATGTGTAAGCAGAACACCATGCTCTGGGCCCCAAATGAAGAAGACAAAAAATGGGACTGGGAACTATGACCTAGACTGGCATCCCCAGTGCTGACCAGCCCAGGCCTCTCAATGCCCTCATTGTATCTAGCTAGCTCCATCTAGCTGGTCTCCCAAATCCCAGTGGCTTTTCTCTGCTCTCAAGACAAAGGCTAGACAGGGAGAGTCTTCTGTCTTCTGGACTGAGCATTTGTTCTGTGGCCTGCTAGACTACACTCTAGGGTTGTAGGATTATGTGATGGTGTCCAGAGAGAACACCCAGTGTTTAGGAGAAATGGCTACCCAGCATCCTTTGCTGCTCCTGAGCCAAAGAGAGAATAGAGCTCTGTCCTCAGTAGCAATCTGGATGAAAGGTCCTGGCTCACTCTGAGCCACACAAAGGTCAAAAGCCAGCCTTGGAGGACTATACAGTCCTTTTCTGGAGGCTGACTGGACAGTTAGGGTCAGTTCTTCTTTAAGGGTAAGGCTTAGGCCTGGTAGCAGGACTGAGAGGAATGGATGGGGCAGGGTAGTTCTCCAAAGACTTGGGACTGTTGGCTTCCTGATTCTGAGACTTGGCAGCCGGAAGGCAGGGCCTGCCCAGAACAATGGCCGGAGACAGGCCTGGCCAGCTCTGTGGAAGGAGGGGTTCCTAAGCAGGGCTGCTGTTGCCGGCTGAGATGGGCCATGCCCCTGCTTCTTCCTCAGATGCTCCCACCTGTCCTGGAAGCCTGGACTGTGCCCTGAAGAGGCGGGCCAGATGCCCACCGGGCGCTCATGCCTGTGGACCATGCCTTCAGTCCTTCCAGGAAGACCAGCAAGGGCTGTGTGTACCCAGGATGCACCAGTCTTCTGGTACGCCAGAGTGTAGATTCAGGGGAAATGGGTGGGTGAGAACCCTTCCCTCCCTTCCTGCCTTGCCCTGCGGGCCCATCCTCCTGATCTTTGTGGAGCACTCAGGTCCAAGACCAGCCTGGAACTCCTGTCACTCTAGGAGCGACAAAGCCCTTTTAACCTTTCAAGATGGTGCTGGCCCAGTGTTGGAACTAGGCTGAG